TAAAGTGCAGTTCAAAGGCTTAATTAGAGTAATAAGGCAAGTCATTATAACGGTAGTTTATTCTGCAGACAATCAAAAATATATATTGCTTAAGGGGGCTAATAATATTGACCTTAAATTGGTTTCAAAATATTTAAACCTTTCTTTATTCTTGCTAAAATAAAACAAATAGAAGAAAAAAATATTATAGGAAATACTGTTAAAATTCCTTGCTCTGTTAAACATAATTTTGGAAATATTTATTAAAAAAAAAAAAAATCTCAGGAGCGCTAATAATTTTGACTTTAACTGGCAATGGTTTTGAATAATCGTGATTACAATTATGACCAAAATAATCGTGATTATGATTTTTCTCAAAATCGAGCAGCCCTACTATTATATATGTATTTTATATAAGTACCAAAAAAATAAATAAAAATCTAAACGCATGCTTAAAATTCCAACATAATAGTAAAAATTATTAAAATAAATAACTTTAAATAATTATTTAAATTTTGCTCACTCGCGCAATCTGCTTGTCAACGTGTCGTAAAGGCAAAATCAAAACAAAAATGGCAGACAAACGTAAATGCAGTGATTCTTCAGAGGCGAAGAAAAAGATTAGATAGTATGACAAAGCCTACCTAAATTTTGGTTTTGTTGAAGGCCAAGACAAGTTAAAACTGATTAATTAATATTTTCTATACATATTACTATATATTAATATTACACAAACACACACACACATATACACACACACACACACACACACACACACACACAGTACATATGTATGTGCGTGCGTGTGTATTTATATGGTGGGGGGCTCCAATGTTTGTATATGTTCATGGGGGGGGCCCCAAAGAAAAAGGTTGGGAACCACTGGCCTAAACAACTTGCCTAAACACACCTGCTTGGAAGTTTAAATTATACCTTGTAAGACCTTGATTAACTTGCTCAGGTGTGTTTGATTAGGTTTGGAGATAAACTCTGCATAACAGCGGCCCTCAAGGAACAAGTTTGGTGACCACTGTTCTAAAAGACCATGAAAACTGCTGAAAATCACTTTTAAAGTCAGTATTCACCATGTTGCTAGGGCCAGTACATGAGATGTGGGCATCAAGGAGAAAGTACATGTCCTTGAACTTTAGGCTGAGCTCCAGATCTCTATTTGGCAGGGGCCAAATTTGCTCCTGGAAGTTTGATGTCCTGCAGAGTTTAGATCCAGTTTGCCTCAACACATCTACCTGGAAGCTTTTAGACCAGGGGTGCCCAAACTCTGTCCTGGAGGGCCAGTCTTCTGCAGATTTAAGCTTCAACCCCAATTAAACACACCTGAACAAGCTAATCAAGCTCTATCAAGGTATACTAGAAACTTCTCAGCCCTCCAGGACAAAGTTTGGCCATCCCTGTTTTAGACTATAGCTAAAATTGCCTAATACTTGAGTAGGTACTACATTTGAAGTTGCTGCATAACCAGTAGAAATCTATGTCCTATATAGTATGAGTGAAAGTAGTATGAATAGTACTTGGACTACATCCTTCATTAGTCATTATAACATGACCTACCTGCATCAGTTGCGTCGATTCCATTCATGAATTCTCTCATGTGGCATCGTGGGACAGTGTAGCATCCATTGGAAGTAGTAGGTTATCTACTGTTTTTCAAATAAATTCAGGCATACTACTCACCTTAGATACAGTTTTTAGCGTACTACTGTATATAGTTTGGAAGTATGTGATTTTGGACGCAGCCCTTGATTAGCTGGTTCAGTTGTGTCTAGTAGGGTTGGAGCTAAAGTCTGCAGGACAGTAGCCCTCCAGGACAGAGTATCGGCACCCCTGCGCTATAGCAACCATATCAGCCATAGAGAGAAGAACAGAGTAAGACAATTCTTTTGTGATAAAGAAGATTAAATCTGTCGCCTGGCAGCCCTATTTCATGACCTTAGGATCAAGTACAGATTTTTTCAAGATCTCAAAATCACTGTGTAGACATTTGGAGATTTTAGCAAGGAAAGCTGTGGGTTGTGATGAAGTGTCCTCAAGCTTGCTTTAGACAGCCTCCTCTTCTTCATGGACCAATCTAAACTCAGCTTTGCCACCACACAAGACCTTTGGAAGCTCCTTGAAAGTGATGGACTGCTAGAGCTGACCAGACAGAACACCGACCTTTCAACCTAAATCGATTCACTCAGAACTGGCTGCAAACATCCAAACCGAAAATCCATGAGTCAGGAGAGATGGGAAATCTGTCTCAAGCATCTCCTCTACTAACTCAAGCTGCAACCCCAAAAGACCAGACCCCGGGGCCAGCTTGCAGAATAGAAAGTGCTTGCAATGAACACTATCAATCCCTCTGAGAATGCAAGCTCTGCTCCCATACACATTTCTCACGTCCACTGTGACGAACAGGGGACACAGATGAAGACAATGCATATGCTTAGAGAGGCTTAACATAGTACAGGCTAATCTTATTTGGTGCCCAGAGCAAGATATTATTTAGATAGCACTATCTAAGACACAGTTTAATGCACAAACTTTAGATGTTCAGATAAAAAGCAAATGTTTTATTGAACCTTCTTCCCCATCTTCTTTTGCTTGGTTTAAAGAATTAAGACCCAGAAACAGGTGCAAATGGAAAACACTTATAATGCCTCAACAGTGGTTTAACCAACATAGGCTTATTTTTGATAATGTAGCCCTATAGACACTTCTGGAGATCGCAAATTATGTAGCCAGAAGTACGTATGGCTGCATTTCATCTTTAAAATGATCAATCCTTTTTGCGCTTACCATCTCACCGCATACCTCCATGTGGATGGCTTTCCTGCTGTTACTAGTTTGTCCAGTTAGCTCGCCATGTACATCAGCAGACTTGAGACGCACAGAGGAGTTGACCACAATGGGAGGGTTTGAGTCTGGCGAAGAACGGTTCCAGAAAGCAGGTAGGACAAAATAAGAAGGCAAAAAATAAAATAAACTAGTAAATAACAGGGTAAGAATATTTTAAAACTAAACAATTCGACGAAGGGTTTTCTTTTTTTGGATTGCTATTTAAAACTGTTGATTGGGTTTAGGGAAGGGGGTGGGTGGGTCAATCGGTGCTTTTGAAAATACTATTTGGTTAGGTTTAGGGAAGGTAGAGGCTTGGTCAGTCAATCAGTCAGTTGACAGCAGCCTCTGGTGGATTTATGCAAGAACAGCAGGCGCAAATGGCACTCGTGAAAAAAATATGAGATCTGAAAAAGCATAGACAATAGTCTCTGGTGGATTTGCGAAAAACAAAAACATGTACCTCCTGGGATGTATTTGGCCTTCTCCAGAAATGTACAGAGGGGTACATTATCAAAATGAGCCTGGGTTGGGTTTAACCTTGTGTGTACATTGTCAATACTCTTTTTAATTTGCAATGTTTTTTTTTTTTTTTCACTGAATGGAAAATAAATGTGATTTAAGTGAGACAACATGTTTGCACACATGCTTAAATTCACTGGATTAAGTCTTATATAGTCAATGGCATGACAAAAGGGAATAAATGTGCCAGATCTCTCTCTCAGTTCAATTATTGCTCTATTGGCATGACAAATGTGACAAATGTATTGCCAAAGAAGTTATAAAGTTTAAATAAAAATAAAAGAACATGCATATGTTTAACGAGGAGTCTGAAACAGAGGCATCAATTTGCAGTATATTTATTAAACACAGTTTAATGATAAGCACATACTGTAGTATGCACTAGTGTGCGAACTCACATCAAATCCAGTAATATAAGGTTGATAGGCTGGCAATCAAGGATCATGATAGCAGGCATAGGTCAGAGGCAGGCGGCGTGGATCAAAGTCAATGTACAATGCAGGGTTTGAGGCAGGCAAGGCAAGGCAAGGCAAGGCAAGGCAAGGCAAGGCAAGGCAAGGCAAGGCAAGGCAAGGCAAGTCAAGTCAAGTCAAGTGACAGTCCAGATTATAACAAGGAGATCAGGCAAGGATAAGGTAATCTCAGAAATGTCAGCCAGGCAGAACAAGACTTCGCACTGGAGTGAGTGTTTGGGCTGCTAATATGTGTGTGTGTGGGTGATCAGTGCAATGTGTAGCAGGTGTGTTGCAATCAGTGTCTGGGGATGATGTAATGTTAATAGTCCGGTGATGATGACCTCTGCTGGCCAGCGAGGGGAATGACTGGGACCGAGTCGGTGACAATATGTAATAAAAAACACAGTAAACTGTAGTAGTAGTAGTAGTAGTAAAAAAATCATATACATATAATATTTAAATAAAAATATTAACATTATATCATATTATCCAATATACCATATTATTATTCATTCATTCATTCATTCATTTTCTTTTCAGCTTAGTCCCTTTATTAATCTAGGGTCGCCACAGCGGAATGAACCGCCAACTTATCCAGCATGTTTTTACATGGTGGATGTCCTTGCAGCTGCAACCCATCTCTGGGAAATATCCACACACACTCATTTACACTCATACACTACGGACAATTTGGCTTACCAAATTCACATGTCTTTGGATTGTGGGAAACCGGAGCACCCGGAGGGAACCCACGCGAGCGCAGGGAGAACATGCACACTGCACACAGAAACACCAACTGACCCAGTTGAGGCTCGAACCAGCAACCTTTTTGCTGTGATGCGACACAGCACAACTTAAATGCGCCACTGCGTCGCCACATATTATTATTATTTTATAATATATCATATTATAAATCAATATATCACTCTCTCACTCACTAATCCCATAGACATACCGATTTTTAATTATACTGTACAGTACAGACTGTCCTACCCCTGAACTCAACCCTGACTGGAAACAATCTGCATATTTACATTTTCAAAATACTGAATTCTGTATGATTTATGAGTCATTTCCTTGTAGGCATCAAAAATGTCCCCACAAGCTTAAAACTGACCGGCTTTTGGTCCCAAAAGATGAGGAATACGAGGTACACACACACATATGCCCACGCACGCAGCTACACACACAGAACAATCACAAACTTACCAGGCTATTGTTTGAAAGTCTTGCTATGTGACGTCTGCGATATCTTTTTATCTAAACATACAAACAGAGGAAACAAGAATATATTTTCTCAATTTCAAAACACCAAAGATAATATACCTGTTGGAAAGAAAACTGCTCTTACAGCTTGACTTCAGTCTGTGTTTGAATTTTGTGTGGGTCTGGAAACATCAGTCTCACACTGACATCTGCTGGTCACTGTTAGTATTGCTTTATTTTTACATATATCATGGTATAAGCCAGGGATGTCAAACTCAATTCCTGGAGGAACGCAGCCCTGCACAGTTTAGTTTTAAACCCTGCTCCAACACACTTACCTGTAGGTTTCAAACAAGCCTCAAGGACTCTATTAGTTTGCTCAGGTGTGTTTAATTAGGGTTGGAACTAAACTGTGCAGGGCTGTGGTTCTACAGGAATTAAGTTTTACATCTGTACAGTTAACCACAACACATTAAAGTCAATGAACAACACATTAAGTTTTATACATTATGCAATAATTACTAATAAATCAGCATAGGTCAACCACAGGTTCCTTTTATTGTCTATAAAGTGAAATAGCTGAACATAAATATAGGAGACTGAAAAAACTGCTCATTCTTAGCCTCTTTATTTATCAGGAGTCGCCACAGTGGAATAAACCGCCAACTATTCCAGCATATATTTTACACTGCACATCTAAGTTTATTTAATTAACCTATACCACATGTCTTTGGACTGTGGGGGGGAAATGGAGCATGCGGAGGAAACCCACGCCAACAAATTAAGAACATACAAACTCCACACAGAAATGCCACCTGGCCCAGCTGGGACTCAAACCAGCGACCTTCTTGCTGTGAGGTGACAGCACTACCCATTGCCATTGTGCTTTCTGAAAAATGCTAAATTTAGAAGAACTTGTCAGAAGACACTTTTGCATCTCAATTTTTTCATATATAAATGTATACATTTTGCAAAGCACCTTCATCTCAGTTTGAGTAATTGTGTTTTTAGTAATTTGTTTTAGCAATTTCTGTCTAGGATATACAATGCAAATATTAAATAGATAACATAAATTAGAAATGTTTTGTTTTTAGCGTTGAGAATAAAGTTATCTGTTCTGTCACTTTTATGTGCCCAAACTTTCACACAGCTCTTGGCTTTTATACTCGTCTTGCACCTTCAGATTTTAAGTAGAAGTGAAGAGAAGAACTGAAAAGTGAGCTGGAGGGAGTCTGACCTGCTGGAGATCACACCACTGAGTCTGTCACCTCTGGTTGATCGTCTTGGCCTCCTTTCTCTCGTCTATCTGGATGGATCTATGCAAAGAAGAGCAGAGAACATTGTTGATCCTGCAGCTGTCTCTAATTTAACTTAAATGCAACTCATGATTAGATTCAATCTCAACTCTACTTTTTTGTAAAATATATTTGTACATGGGAGCTTTGAAGAAAACACACTAGCGAATCAGTTAGCAAATAAAATGACAGAATGGAAAGTTTTGTATTTGGAACACATTTATTCATAGTGATAAAAATTTGCTTGTCCATCTATGTTTACATGAATGAAACTATTCTTTGTCATTATATCATAAACACTGAATTTACTACTCACGTGACACTTTGTGAAAATGAAACTTCTGTCATGTACTCACCTTTTACTTGTTGCATACCTGTGCGACTTTTTAAAATCTATTGAACAGAAAAAAAGATATTTTGAAGAAAGCTGAAAACCTGTAGCCATTGATATTCATGATATTTTTTCCTACTATGGAAGTCAATAGTTACAGTTTCAGCTTTCTTTAAAATATACTCTTTTGTGTTTGACAGAACAAAGAACTTATAAAAGTTACAGTATAACAACTTGAGGGCGAGTAAATATTGAGTCAGTTTACATTTTTGGGTGAACTATCCCTTTAACTAAGCTATTCTAAAATGAAAGTGCAGTCATTTGTTTCGTTTTTTAGATTGTTGAGTTGGGTAGTTTGTGTTTATGCAATGTTTTATTCTTACACTCTCAACCTCTCGCTGTTTAAACCCTTGAGCTGTACTGTCTTCATGGTATAAAATAAACTTTGGAAACACTAAACGGAGTACTTCAGTAATTCTACAGTCACATAAGCTGTACAGAAATAAGAGTATTGTAGCTAACATCTTAACACGTGCTACTACTATACTATACTCAAATGTGTGCAGTGTGTGTGTGGCCTGCAGTGCAGCGTTTTCCCAAATGCAATTTGTTTATTCACAAGATGGCAGCCTTGTCTTGCACTGATTCACTGCAAACTGAACAAAACAGAATGCGTAAAGCCTGTGCGGTCAGACGAGAAAATGTGTGAAGACATTAGATTAGTAACCTAGCTTGGTACAACTCTGTCATGAAATACAGAGATGTTTATGTTGATTACTTGTGGTGACAAAATGCAAAGATATTGACTTCTGTAAGACAAGAGCTATATGTACAGCTTGCGTTTTTCAGTCACCATTAAACTTCCGGTAAAAGGTTTATGTGACTATTTTAAATTTCATAAGGTTCTTTTTACAGCGTTGTTTTCTACAAGCTAAATCAGGCCAACTTCATTTGACATTAACCTATCATCTCATTTGAGGTAAAGTTGGTTCGATATCCCCGTTTCCACTGACTGGAGTACTGTACTTTATGGGTCACCTTTATCAGGCTTTGGTGGGCATGGTGTATGACAGAAAGTTTCAGTCTACGTCATTCTCTCTCGAATAAATGTCTACAGTAAAGCTGTACAGGTTGTTCACAGATCATATGAGAAGCACTTCTCACAAAACAGATGCTTTATACTCATAAATACTTGTTTATAAATGTTTATCACTAACGTTTCTATAAACATAATTTGATTATAACTGCAGATCAATGTGCGAAATAGCCTACTGTAATGTTTGAAATTATATAAAATAATTATATAAATGCAACATAAATGGACACACTTTACAGTCTCTGATATGTTACTAATTACAGAAAAACTACACACAGCAGACATTTAGTCTTTATTTAGGTTTAAAAAACAACAAGCAACATAAAGCCCAGTCAGTGAAAACCTCTCATCTGTGTCTGTAATCTTCACCAGCACATGTAACATCTGATTAGAGAGTCATTCTGTCATTCTGAGTTCATAATAGTCCAAAAGGTGATGATAATTGTTAAACATGGCAGTTTGTTCGTGATCCAGGTTGCTGAAATAATTTGCTCCTGTGTTTTGTCGGGCTTCTCCTTTGTTTGCTGTTCACTCTCGCATTTGTCCTTTTCTTTTTGATAGGATCAGATAGCGAAGACACTTTAAGAATCACGCACATGTTATTATCATCAGCTCAAGAAGTTTCTTATATCAAATATAGATGCTATCGCGAGCTCTCGGAAGAAAGCGAAAACCGCTTACACTTTTAGACAGCCCCGTAAAACAACAACAGGACACGGCAGATTTTGTACTTCTTGGCTTTGTGTCTGTACATCAAGACAACGACAAGGTTCGTTTGAGCTCGGGTCATCCATGGCTTGTTATTATATGCATAAAGTATTACAGTCTCTGCTGTGTATTTAAAATATGCCAGTTTCTTTGTTTTCATTCTGGCTAGCTCCACATGAGCTTGTGACGTATCTCTGTAACCAATCAGCGTTCAGCTGCACGTGTAGCTCCACCTTTTGGTATCCTTTCTCATGTTTGGTACTCTTTAGAAAGGGTGCTGAAAAAGTGGTATGGTGTGGGTTCGGTACGCCGTTTGACAGTGGAATCGACCATAAAATCGTTCCGAACCGTACCGTACCACTTAGTGGAAACGGGCCATTATTATCACACAAATCATAGTAGCCTAGCAGCCAGTGACTATCGAAGTACAACATTGTTCAAAGTCAAATTAATATTGCTTATGTTGTTTTAAAGTCATACTTACATGCAAGTATTTAAAGTAGCATGGTAAACATAATTGGGAGCAAGTCACAAGTCACTGAACGAATGTGTGAGTAAAAAAACAATGTTACCTCAATTGTTGTCTCTCATAGGGAAACTAGCCTAATGGCTTGGTGTGTCCCAGCCTTTAAGCCCAAATTATACAAATTATTTTTTTTTTACAGTCAAAGACTCTACCTTTGAAACTAAACTTAATTGGACTATATACACAGATATTCAACACATTGCGACAACTTTCAGTGTTTTTTTCCAGCCTACAGGGGTTCGTTTGTGCTCAATCCCTTGCCATGAGTTATAAGACACTTAAACATCTTTGTGTTCTCCTAACCTTTTTGTACAATCATCCATTGCCATTTTTTATTGTGTGGTATGACTAGACACGATATGGCTTTGTTCGGTTTGCTTTTCATCCGCAGTTTTGTTTTGCTGGGAAAACCATTCTTGTCAACATGAATTTGGCACATCAAGTATTGTTGCAGATCAGGTACACCCTTTCAGTGGCATTCCCCAGTGCAAGTGTCCACTTTCAGCAGGACAATGCACCCTATAAGTTTACAGACTTCAGAAATAGTATATTGAATGATTTAACCAGATATAACCAGACATATTCAAGGGTGTTTTAGAGTCCACGCCTTATTGGGTGCGTGATGTTTTTTGGAGATTATAGAGGTCTAATAGCATATTATTATGTTTTTATCCATATATCTTTATTTTAATGATCAGTTTAAACATAGTACACAATATGTTTGAGATGCGAGCTGTTCTGGCAATAGTAAGGTCCAATGAAAAACATATATAGACAGATAAAGGTAGCACCCTTAACTGTTGGTATTACATTTTTAACATGTGGAAAAATAATAAAGTAGCTTAAATGAATAAACTACTTTAAAAAAATTAACTTAAGAGAAATAAAATAAATTAAATTATTACAGGTTAAGCAGAATGTTAAATGTTGAATGTTATTCATGCATTTGCATCTGCACTTTTCTCAGTGTTCATCATAACGAGTCTGTGTTTGAGCAGTGAATTCTCTGTGAGCCATATTGCACAGCCTATATCACTGCTGCTCTTTTTTTCCAATGACACATCCAATAACAACCAGTGAAGCTAATAGCACAGGCTCAACTGGTTACTTTGAATTATCTTGATCACCAGTAAAAAGGTTAATATCCATATTTAAATGTTTATCTATCATGCCTCTCTTTGGTGCCATCATACTTAATAAAGCTTTACAATTATTTAAAGATTTAATTATATTTTACAGCTTAAATCAATGGGTTGGTGCTGTGGCTAAGCGGTTAGCTTGGATGCCTCAGAGCAAGAAAGTCACTGGTTCGAATACTAGCTGGGCCAGGAGGCCTTTCTGTGTGGAGTTTGTTTATTCTCTCCGTGTTTGTGTGGGTTTCTTCTAGGTGCTCTGGTTTCCCCACCAGTACACATGCAATATAGGTATATGGACAAACTAACATTGACCATAGTGTGTGAATAGGAGAGTATGTGTGTGTTTTCCAGCACTTGAGGTTGTACACTCATAAACCCTGTGTTGCAGCAGAAAGGGTATTCTCTATGTAAAATATATGCCAGAGTAATTGGCGACTCCTGATAAAGCAGGGAATAAGCCAAAGGAAAGTGAGTGAGCTCAGATCAATGTTTTGTGTCTAATTGTTTCGTTTTGTGGAAAGAAGCCATGTAATAAGCAGGATAATGTACATCTACTACATCTAAAGCCATTCAGTCTTATACAGCAGGCCTCTGTTTTGCTGATAAGCCTAATTTTCAACAAATATTTGCTTGTCAGCAGTCAGCAACTTCTGGGAAACCAGCTCAGTGTATGTACTACCAATGCATACAGTGGGCCCTATCATACACAAGGCGCAATGTGGCGCGGCGCAATTGTTGTTTGCTAGTTTCAGCTCGCCGCAAGAGTCAAAAGAAAAATGAATGAATCAATCAATATATATATATATATATATATATATATATATATATATATATATATATATATGTGTGTGTGTGAGTATTCATTTAAGCCCGTCAGTCCTACGCCACCCAATCTGCTCCGAGCTGATTTCGAACTGGTAACCTTCCGCATGGGAGTCGGTTGCTCTACCAAGGAGGCTAAAGACCATAGCCTCTAGCATCTGTCGCTAAAGCACCTTTAGAGGTCAGAGGAGTGAGATTTACATGCACAGCACACACTAGCTGTATGTATACATACGTATATACTATATGTATAAATGTGTGTGTGTGTGTGTGTGTGTATGTGTGTGTATATATATATATATATATATATATATATATATATATATATATATATATATATATATAGTTAGGGAAGGTGCTGTTCAGGCTAATTGTCATGTACAGTGATTCAATTGTATGCTTTAATCATCTTTCAGATATGCTCAGAGAAACAGGTTTAGGATGCTGTGTAATTGCTGAAATGGTGACACGCAAGTGAGATATGACAGTCTGTTGATGATGGGGATGTGAGTGGGTTCAGGTGTGAAATCATAAAGAATAGAGTTGGATCTAGGCTGTAGATTTCATGCAGATATTTGGTGTGTAATGAGCTTCGGCCATCTGTCTCTGCTGAGAATTGATTCAGCATGACGAGATGAGGAAAAAACGTATTTACTTCTTTTTGTGTGGGAGAGGTACAATAAATAAATGCGGTGCTAGTACTGCGGTACATCTTTTCCACCTCGAAGGAGTGGTGCAAGGCCACACTTTGTACTTTTAGTCTAATTTCTCTCTGCTTGGCGAGAACCTAAAACAGAGATTCAAATTGTGGGGTGTCTTACTAGAAACCCTTTAATCATTATAGGAACAGGTTTGCTAAAGTTATGTGCATATAGATAGATTGTCATAATGAATACAAACAAAACTCATAAGGACTTACACGGCAACACATTTATTTATGTGTAATTAAATTGTATCTTATGTCTCCTTTCAGCTCTGTTAGAGTTTCTGCCTCCAAGTCATTCCATATGCCACCAGACCTGTTCTTACCATAGTGGTCTACCACATCATTCAACGCAGTTAAGCTGCAGATGTGATTCATTCATCTCTTGGCCCATGTGCCTTATTCTCAATATTGACACCAGAGCTGATGTCAAGCTGGCATTAGAAAAGTGGCACCCTAGACCTGAACAGTTTTAGGGCCTACTCACACTATGCTATCTGAACCGTGCCCAGGCACGTTTCCCGGATCGTTTTAGACGTGTGAGTATGCTAAATCGGGCTCAGGCACTGTTCACTTGGCTGGCCCTGGCTCATTTGGAAGAGGTGGGCCTGAGCGCGGTTCACTTGGGCTTTGGCGCGGTACGCTTGTAGTGTGAGTGAAAAACGTGCCCGAAACTGCCCGAAACTGAAAGAGAGACGTGACTTTAAGGGGCTGTTTCATATGCATTTATTAATCATTCTTACTGTTCAATGAACGCAAACTGCCTGAGTTTATTAAAGAAGGAAACCCCTCACTGCACGACAGCTGCGCACCTTCAGCAAACCTCCTCATTCTTGCAGCATGAGAGCTTTATGATCGTTTATGATCGCCAAAAGTGGCGGATTTGTTCGGCGAAATATCTGACTGCATGTCACCGCATCCCTAAGGACTGTTTGGCGAAATATTTGATGGCATGTCACTGCATATTAAACGACTGAAACTATGTAACTAGAGAAATCTCCTCTGTGCTGAGCGAGAACACTCACTGAACAGCGCAGCATCGATGACGTAAGGGTCCCCAGGCCCGATTGCAGTGTGAGTGCGGGCCGTCGGGGGAGATGGGAGGGGGTACAAGCGTGCTTTGGCCCGGTTCGAGGCAACTGTACAGAGTGTGAGTACGACCTTAGTTCAATGTTGTAATCTGGTGCAGCTTAAGTAACTAATGATGTAACACATTACTTTTTCATTTGCAAAACAATATGTTACTTTATATTTTTCATGGGATTCAGAAAGTTTTGTTTTTTGTACATAAAATTAATGAATTAAAAAAAAAATTATATATATAAATATATATAATATGTAATAAATATACATAATTTATTTTTTTTTTTAAAACAAGCCAGCCTAGCCTAAATAAAATATAAAGTAATGCAAAAGTTGTGTAGACCACTACTGTCTTTAAAAAGTAAAATTTTGTTACTTTTTAAAAAGAAGTAACATAATATATTTCATTTAAAAATTACTTTCCCAAAACTGGTCTGGAAAATCTACTGTACACAGGGCGAGATGATTTAACAGACTCATCATCTCTCTATCTTATTATACAGGACTATAAAAGCAGATGCAACATCAACTCTACTCTTCTGAGTTGGATCCTCCAGAGTTTCATCCACTCACTTCTCTGCCTGTTCTAGAATGACCCTGGCCATATTTAGGCATGGATTTACACTGATCTTTCAGCATCAGGCTCCTATGCCTGCTTTCCTTGTGAGGACAAGTATTTCAAGTTTTGGCATCTGTGAGGTTTAGTGTCTGATGAAGATCCCCAGAAATTACTTTACGTCAGTACACATAAAAGTGTAAAGCCTGCACAAACAGCCTACAATAAGTGTGGAATGTTATTGAGTATCACTAACTAAATTTTGCACAATATTTTTAAATGGAACAACGTCGAACAATATGTTCTTTTAAAACCATGTATTTTCTTTTTCACTTTTATGTTAAGCATTTTATTACCTTTGTGCTTGAAATTTGTTTTATATTCCCAAACCTGCCTTAACGCTCATATAAAAAAAAAAAAACTTCATCGTGTGGATTTGCTTAGAATTCTTAAGACAAAAAAAGTCTTCCAAAAGCTTTAATTGGCTTATATCATCTTAGACCCATTTTGTTGGCCATTTGCCAATCTTGTTTTGTGTTATTGATGAAAAAAAGAGATGGTTAATTCACTATATTAGCTCAGTATACAGTAGATGTTTTAAAAATGGCCACGGAGTAAAATGGCTTGCCTTAAAGGGACTTTGTTTATACTCATTTTACTGCCAATCGGTCTGGATTTTTAGAAATACCCACCAAACAAAACAATACATATCTCAAACTACCATGTTCACCCTTGCACACAGTTTTCAGGAAACATTGCATTTAACCCATGACACAACAGAAAAATATTGCACACAAATTTTAGTTTGAATTTGCGCCAGTTATCTTGATTAAAAGACCCAGGATCTGCCAAAGTAATGTAGACTGGTTTCATGGGTTCACACACAGACATTTGACTAAATAAAATATAAGTATTCGGCAAGCTGTCCGGGGAGAGGGCTCTGAGCTCGGAAGACACCCTAACTTGTGGTATTCCTCTTATCAGGATAGAGAGAGATAGGGTCTGAGCGCAGTGTCTAGCCCGGCTTCAGAACACTCCTCCCTCAGATTTAAATAGGTATCAGGTTTAATAATGTGGAGTTGGGGTGGTGAAGGGATGCTAAAGTCAAGAGAAAATGGAGGTATGACGTCTTTAACTATTTGTAGGGGTTTGGTCTTGAGCTGATTGGATAATAGAATGATTGTGATGAATTAGCCTCGTCAAATACGGATCGTGCTCCTCCCGAAATTTGTTTATAAAACATCACTAAGTGAGGTACGAAGAACAAACCCCTGCTACATGAAAATATTTTATCACCATTATTTTAAAACCTTAATTCATGTCTATTTATACTGTATGACTAATCTCCGTGAGCAAAAAAAACAAACAACCAATAAACAACCATAAAAAAAAAGAACGGAGTGCACCTTTAAGACATCTGTTTCGCAATGTGCTGAGCAGCAAGTTGCAGAGCTGAATCTATCTGGCTGGATGCTCAGTGCAGTGGGGCATTTGCCAAGTCTCTCCTCCTATATCTCCCACCCAAATCATGCAGCATGGGGAAGGAAGTCAAAGCATAATGCCTAAAGGATGAAACACTGTTGCACTGAAGTTGCCAGGAAAAGTATTAATTGGATAACCACGATCAAAGTCATGCATAACTATAATTAGTGTTTGTAAGCATTAATGAAAAACTAAAGTTCAGACACTGTACTAAATTAAAGGTATAGTTCACCCAAAATTAAAACTCTATGATTATTCACTCACATTTTGCCTGTTTCAAACCTGTTTAAATGTATTTTTTCTCGTTTAAACACAAAATAAGTTACTGTGAAAAATATTGGGAACCTGTAACCATTGACTTCCATAGTATTTATAGGAAGTCTACGGTTAGAGGTTTTCTTCTTTCTTTAAAATATCTTAAAGTTTAGCAGAAGAAAGAAATACATAAAGGTTTGAAACCACATGAGAGTGAGTAAACGCTTAGTATTTTCATTTTTGGGTGAACTATCCCCATTCCACATAGGATTTTTTTTTACTTAGTTCAGTCCTAGGAGAAAGAACAAATTTCTGGTATACATTTGGCACACTAAGATGATAATCAATATGCTAAATTTCTTTTTGAATGTATTTTTAGTTTTAATTTATTCCTTTTATGACTTGATTGCTATTGAAATCCTTTACCAGTCATCCACATCACATTGGAAAAACCATTAGCATTCCTTTCGGACGTTGTGCTAGAGTAAAATTAATTTAAAAGCAATATATCAATGGTAGCAAGATAAACCATAAAAGTGAGAGTGGAGAGAGAGGGAAAGAGAGCGAGAGAGAGGGGGGGCAGGGTTTCATGCCTTTTGTTGATGCTGCTGCATGAGACTGTATTCCCTTCTGCCCGTGGGATGCTGAGAGAGACTCTTCATAACACCAAGACCTATATCACCACACCAGCTTTTCTATTAATTTCTGCAATTTAATCTAAATAGGAAGATGGGAATTTGGGAATATACTCTTTATTTTACCACCACATGCTGCCTATGGAGAGGTAAGGAACCATTTAGACATTTGATTATGAAATATCCATGAGCTTTGCTGAATAATTGTCTTTTTAATGCTTTATCAAAGTTTCTTGCATGTCAATTCAGTGTTTTCTGATTGAAGTGTTGCATATCCGCTCAGATCTATTTCAAGTTCTGCTGTGACGTAAATGAAATTGATGTTTTGAGGCTTGTTTATATGAGGATACTAGCCAGATTAGAATTTGAGGTTAATGAGTGCGATTTGTTTTTTGTGCTGGGTCATGGCTTTAAGTTGGCAGTTTAACATTAGCAATTTTAACATATACTTTGTGGTCTAATTCTACTTTGCTCAAGAGTCAGTCTATTTGAATTCATTCTTAATTTTTTCTTTATCTTAATTTTTTTAATGGCTGTGGCTTTTATAATTATGATTTTGCTCTGTTACCAGTCCATTAATTAGTTGTCTCTGGCTGCAATCTCATTAGTGCCCCCTAAACTGAATTTGTACACTGGATGCTTTGTGTGCATTATACAGTAGTGTCTCTGATACTGTCAAGAGAGTCTGCTTCTCTAGTTTCTGAATTCATCTCTCATGAATAACAGGTGCCTTTTTGAATGAATCAAATGCCTGATGTAATCTAGAGGGCATCTTTGTGGAATTCGATTATGAATAGACTTGATCCTGAGGGAATTCGATTACAAGAACATCCCTTGTCCTGCTAGAAGAGAAAAGGCAGTGATTGAACTATGAGGGGAAAAGGCTAGAATCATTATGAATTGCCTTGTATTTGTCCAGATTAGTCTAGATAAGTTAGATGCATACTTAAAAGCATAGTTCACCCTTCAAAAAAAAAGTTAAAAAAAAATAAAAAAATTCTGTCAACAATTACGCATCCTTCACTTGTTCCAAACTTGAGTTTCTTTGTTCTGTACTGTAACTTAATAAATTAAGGTAACTCAAACTATTTAAGGAAACCGTTTGCAACAAACCATTTCAGTTCAAAAACTAATCCTAATGAGTACTGTGAACTTAATCCATTTGAGTAAACAAAGCATTTTGAGTACAGTAAAACCCAATAAATGAAGAGAACTCAAACCAACTGAGTACTGTAAAACCCAATAAGTTAAGGCAACTCAAACTGTTTGAGGAAACTGATTGCTACAAACCGTTTGGGTTAAAAACTAATCTATACGAGTACTGTGAACTTACTCCATTTAGGTTGAAGTAATAAGGTATTTAATTAACTTTATACCTCTAACACTGAGTTCAAAACTGAGTGCAATTAATTCCAAATTAATTACACTCATTTCATTTGATAGAGCTGACTGTGGTGTTTTAGAGTGTGTAAATAAATTAAGGAAAACTTTTCAACCTATTTGTTTTGAGTTATTTTAACCTATTTGAATTGTGTTAAACTTATTTTATTTGTGTTATTTCAACCAATTGTAGGTAAATAAAACCCATGAGCAAATCCTTGCTAGGTTACAAGCAATTGACTTGTGTTGGGGCAACTCAAAATAATTAAGTCACTTACTCGTTTTTACAAATTTATGTGAATTGAACAAAGTTATCCTCCAAAAACTGAATAATTGTTTTTCAGCTCATTTTAAATAAGTAGTTTGAACAAACAGCAAACTCCATTTTTGAGTGTGTCAAATCATTCTTACATTTACCTGAAACTCTTTAAAATTTTTAACTAAGTGAGGAAAAAACTCTTACAGTGTTTTCCCTTACAAAAAATACATAAGATAATTTTATTGTCAACATTTCCTCTTCATAACACAATCCCACACAATACAGGGTTGACAATTAAAGAATTATTGTTTTAGCTCATTTAAGACAGGTAGTTTGAACAAGCAGCAACAATGATTTTTTTGAGTGAAGTTATATTAAATAATGTTGGAAAGCAGCAGGCATTGGGTGCACTAAAAAAATTATGTCTGCAAAACTGTTGCAACCTATTTTTTTTGTGCTGAATTTAAATAAATAAATAGTATAAAATCAGCCCAAATAAATAGTTTACAACCAATTTGCTTTAAAAAAAAATTTTAAATTCAAGGAATCATTTTTGAATCACTTTTCAGAATGGATGGAAATATAGCTAATGCGTATAAATATTGAAAATGTGTATAAGAATCTTATGGGCACAAGTAAAATAAACATTTAAAAAAACTTTAAAACACTCCAAAAAGATATTTACAAAAAGTATTTGTTCAATTTAAAATGTGCTGAAACAACACAATTCTTGAGTTTTTTGTATAAATTATTTTGTAATTTTTTTTTTCAATCTACTTAAATTTGTAAAAACCATTAAGTTAACTTAACTGACTTGTGTTGGGACAACATGAAAGAGTTGTGTTGAACGCAACATTTTTTTAACAGCGTATGATGAAACCCATTTCCTGAATACATTTCTGCACGTGCATCGAAAAACGTAATGTGATTTTGTTTTAACAGATCATTTGATGACAAAAATAGGCACAATGGGATGACATTAACGGGCAAACCAGCAGGCTGACCACATTGCACATCTTAAATGTTGTTTTGGTCATTCTAAAGTCTCTTAGTCAAGGTTTGTTATCAAAGTGGTTTAGTATTATGACCTTAAGAACTATCTTGGCTGTGCTCCAAATAGAGTGGTCTCACACTTCTAAAAGCCACCGCATGCTAAGTGAAATTTAATTATAAACTAATTTCGAGAGGATCACGTGCTTATGATTGATCACAGCTGGTCCTGCATCAGCTCACAATTGATTCACCAATCAGATGATTTCTAACTCACTAACTCACTATAAATAAGAGTTTCTTATCTAAGTTTTTTCGTCTTGAAGAATCCCTCCCTCCACACACCCCTACTGCCCCTCCTTTTTTTAGATGGGTGACACAGCAGCCCAGTGATTAGCACTGTTGCCTCACAGCAAGAATGTCCCTGATTTAAGTCCCTACTACACCAGTTGACATTTCAGTGTGAAGTTTGCTCACTCTGAATGACGAGGTGACGCAGTGGGTAGCACAATTCCCTCACAGCAAGAAGGTCACTGGTTGGAGCCTTGGCTGGGTCAGTTGGCATTTTTGTGTGGAGTTTGCATGTTCTCCCTATGTTTGCATGGGTTTCCTCCGGGTACCCCGGTTTCCCCACAAGTACACTATATGGGAATTGGATAAGCTAAATTGGCCGTAGTGTATGTGTGTGAATGAGTGTGTATGGATGTTTTCCAGGGTCCGGTTCCTGCTGAAAGGCCATTCACTGCATAAAACATTTGCTTGATAAATTGGCGGTTTATTCCACTGTGGCAACCCCAGATTAATAAAGGGACTAAGCTGAAAATGAATAAATGAATGAGTTTGCTCATTCTCCCTGTGCTCCTGTGGGTTTTCCCCGGGTTCTCTGGTTTCCCTTAACAGTCCAAAAACACGCAACCTATATACCATAGCCAAGCTCTTAGCAAGCGTACATCTCTCCTTAGCCATCCTATGTCTGTCATTTACTAGAAAGAAGTTGGGAGAGCTCATCGTGATCTACCTGAGCTCAAACTCGCCCTGCAAATGAGAAAGAGGCCTGGGCTTAAGGATCTCATAAGCAGCTCTCTCCCTGGACAGCATGCCAAACAAGCTTTGTTATCAATCATCAGCTAAGTGGGAACTTTTATAATTGCATTGAGTCTTCATTTTTCTATAGGCTCAGGGAAGAAAAAAAAGGCACATAGTGGCTTTTCCTACTTCAGCAAATCCCTTTTTTAAAATCAGATATTCTTTATTAATTTAATTATCAATTTGGTGCCAGTTTTTCAGGAAGCATACCTGGCCTAATCTAAATTACGAACAATTGTTTTTTTGTCCATGATTGTCAAGTAGCCAGATCTTGTATGAAGCTCATCACCTTACACAACTGAAGAAATATTCAAATCGCTAAGCATGGTGCACCTTAATCTGGCAACATACATTACCACCCAGATATGCTGTTGATTTCTGCATGGGATTTGGTAGATGCAGGATTTGAACGGCGGTGGTAGCAAGTAGAAAACCACAGATGGGGACAGGGAATGACAGGAGGGTTGTTGTATTTAATTACCTATACCTGCCAACCTGATTTCATCAAGAAGGACATGTTCCTAAATTAACATCTGTGTTGATCCTGGAGCAATATTGCAATCAGAATTAAGGGATAGGTTTACAGTTTATGTTAAGTTTAGGGTTGCGGTTAGGTTTATCCACTTCTGCATGAGTGTTATCCAACTATTATTCCCCTCTGATTTTGGGAATAATTTACAGTTATGGTTGGGTGTAAGAGAAGGGAATAGGTATGGTTTACATGTTAGAACAAAAATGATGTTACAGGATCAGCATAGATGTTAATCCAACATTCTACATAGCATAATCATGACATGCTACCCACCCCATCTCCAACTGCATGGACAACTGCTACCCAACTTTCCCACAATTTTGAAAACAAATGTTGCCATGTATGTCAGGAAGTGATGATTTCGTTCTCAATGAACAATGATTTATTCACAAATGGTCCATGCGATATTCCAATTTTCACATTAGACCAAATTATCTTTGGATAGAAACATAGCTAGGGACTTTCAAACTTTTAATATCAGTGGCTGCTGGTTTCCAACAATCTTCAGAATCTCTTAAATAGTGTTCAACAAAAAACATTCTTAAAAGTCTTTGGGTGAACTATCTCCTTAAGAAAAATGGTTGAGTCCAATCAGTCAGACTTCCTGGTGGAGATTTAATCACTGAAACCCAGCAGAAAAGCTTAGATGAGAGTTTCAGATCAATAGAGGCACATCCAAATGAGCTGGAGCAGCTGCCTCTGCTGATTTGCCAGCATTTCCCTGAATATCTCATTCACTCTGTGCTGTATTCCTCTTCTGTAAGCGCTTAGCGGTATGGATCGAGTCAAGGTTGAAACTCTGCAACCGTGTCACATTGTTCATTCTCCGACAGTGTCACTTCAGGGGGAGCATCAGAGGAGACTCTATAGAGACCTGATGAAAGATTATAACCCACTGGAGAGACCTGTGTTCAATGACACCCACTCACTCACGGTGTATTTCAGCATGAGCCTCATGCAGATTATGGATGTGGTAAGTTTACAAATTCACTCATTTCAAAATGTAATCACTCAAAGCATGTTTTATCAAAGTCTAAATAAATATGTTCCACTAGCTGGGGGTTACAATCAGGGATGCCAGGTTTTCGCAAACAAAACTAGACCAATGACCAGTGTTGGGAAAAGTCACTTTTGAAAGTAATGCATTACAATATTTAGTTACTCCCCCCAAAAAGTTACTAGTTGCATTACTTAGTTACTGTTTGTGGTAAGTAATGCGTTATGTTACTTTTGAGTTACTTTTAAGTTACTTTTTCTTACCTGCATGAGGCTTGATCTCTTTCAGAACTTGCAGGCTATTTTTCTTTTACTTTCTTTTTTTTTAAACAGATGATCTCTGCATTTAACGATACACACTGTATAACTTACATCATCATTTACCTTTGTTTCTTTTTCTTTCTTTTTTTTTACCTAAAAACTAATTTAAAATAATTAATGTACTAAAAAAATAATAAAGCAAAATATACTATTGTTTCCTTTTGACAGATAATTTTATTTACCCCATTGACAGACTATTTGGCTTGCTTTAAAGTAAATCTCCCTTAATTTTGGCATATTATTACTTAAAACAACACAAACTTTGTTGTTGGTCTAGAAAATGCTTCTTGATTTAAGAATTTCTAGATATTTGGAGTAGAAGCGAGGCAAAACATTTTGCCATGCACACAGTCACAGTGTTTTTCCCACAAATCTAGTCACTAAACGTAGACTTTAAAATAGCATTGAATGGCACAACCATTCAAATGGTTGAACTATTCGTATTTAATTTCACATCGATTCAGGTCCTGCCATTGATTTAAATGTCGCTGAAAATTTATAGGACATATTTGCTCTAAAGACTACAGCGGCCCTATAGTTACTGTGAAAAGCGAGGTGAGAGATGTGGAGATAACACAGGAAATATTACAAGCTTTCAAAAATGGCAGTTATATAAACATTTTGTAAACCTAGGAACGATCATTTGTCACATTTCATGCTTTAGTAGACTTTGAAGGAGGAAACATTGAATGAAATGAGATGAAATTAAAGATGTGAGGGATAGATATTACGATGGTGTACACTATGATAAAAGTCCTAGAATTTTCCAAATTTTGACCTTGCAAAACTAACTGTATGCCGCTTGCGTATATTTGTGGAAATGGCCAGAAATACATTGTATGAGCCAAAATTATACTTTTTAAAATAAATTTTAGGCCACAATCTATTGAACATCATGTAAATATGATCTACACTGTAAAAATAAATATTTCTAAATTAGTTTTTTTTTTCCGTAATTTTTATTTTTTATTCATTTATTCATTTTCGTTTTGGCTTAGTCCCTTTATCCCTTTATTAATGCGGGCTAGCCGCAGGGTAATGAACTGCCAATTTATCCAGCACATATTTTACGCAGCGAATGCCCTTCCAGCAGCAACCCATCACTGGAAAACATCCATACACACTCATTCATACACATGCACTACGGAAAATTTAGCTTACCCAATTTGCCTAATACCACATGTCTTTGGACTTGTGGGGGAAACCAGAGCACCTGGAGGAAACCTATGCCAACACAGGGAGAACATACAACCTTCACACAGAAATGCCAACTGACCCAGGCAAGGCTTGAACTAGCAACCTTTCTGCTGTGAGGCGAACATGCTACCCAATTGCATTATGGGACCTTGATCTTTCGTCATATACCCTTGAACTTTTTAACCTTGAGAGATTGGAAAAAAGTGACTTTTATTATTATTTTAAATAGTTTACAGTGATATATCATGGTAATAGTGTTTTATATCATGGTAATAAGATAAGGTAATAAACTGCCAGTATATTTTCTGTTAGTTTACAGACTTACAGTATTTCTCTCTATATATATTTTTTATACTTTACATTATTTCAAAGAACTAAAATTACAATAAAAGTTACTTTGTTAAACTGTAGAGTTGAATATTTAACATCAAAAGTCAACAAAGCAGAGATCAAGGTCCTATAATTCAATACACACCCATAAATAAACAGAAAACACTCGTAAATCACAAAATACGGTAACTGGTAGTGAACAGATATATTTTACAGTGTACCGTGAAGACATTTTTGTAATTTCCTTTTGTATTTCCATCAAAATAAACAGTTTAAATTAGTATTATTCATTGCTAAAAATGGAATTTGGACAACGTTAAGAGTTTTTAATTTTTTTTTATAGATTTTCTCAATATTTAGATATTTTTTTTAATTCTCAGATTCCAGAAATTCAAATAGTTGCATATTCGCCAAATATTCGACAATCCTAACACACCACAAATCAATGGAAAGCTTGTTTATTCAGCTTTTAGATCAATTCAGACAATTTACCTTTGTGACTGGTTTTGTGGTCAAAGGTCACAATTAAATATATTATTTCTGTCTTTTTGGTCTACTAAAATTACTGTTGGTAAGAGTTTTGTGCTGTGAAAAAGTGGCAAGTTCTTAAGCAAAAGTAAAATCCATTAAACACATTTATCCTTCACAGCCTTTTTCCCCCATTGCTGTCAAAAATGAAATATGGCACTACCCTGACTGAGGTCAGAAAAGTCAGTTGAATTTAAGCATAATTAATTTTAATTTGTAGCAAAATTAACGGCTTATTAGTCCAACATCTAACAGTTAATCAGCTGGCTCTACATTAATGCCTTAAAACATTTTCATTTATTAAATCAAGACTTTTTGTATTGCAATAAGTTTGAATCTTGTTAAAAATCTTCCCTGGTTTTCCTAGCATGTTAGCATAACCTGTAGACTGATTTGTATTTAAAGGACTTTTGCCTCGACAATCTAAAGAAATGTGGCCTCCCAGCAGGCCCACAGCATCATAAGACGTTGTTATTAAATTACATTTAGATCGTGATGACAGGTGACCAGAATTCTCGCCATTGTCTAAGGACAACATATTTTGATGTCTAAAAAATTACGTCAAATTATGTTGATATTTGGTTGATTTTAGGTTGTGTTGGAAAGTGACCAAAAGCCAACGTCGAGCCAACATCTTTAACAAACGTAATATTGACGTCAAATACAAATACTTTATTCGTCAAGTATGGCAACCAAAATCCAATGTCAGATAGACATCATAGTCGTAACGTCCAAAAGACTTCAAGCTGTAACATCATTAGACGTGGATATTTGGTTGTCTTTAGGTTGCTTTGGAAGGTGAGAAAAATCTGACATTATTTGTCTAATATTGGAAACTGATGTCGACCATTTATTTTTACCCAAAATGCAATGTCCCACGATGTTGGGGTACAAAGTCAAATCAAATAACCAATAACTTACATTAGTTAAACTGACTTAAAACATCAAGTTAAAATATATATAACTTAGAAAAAAGTTGAAACTAGCTCTGTCAAAAGATTAATCGCGTTTAGTCACATTAAAAAAATAAAAGCTTGTATTTACATAATACTATATATGTGTACTGTGCATATTTAAAATATTTATATTATTTTTATTCCAGCAATACACACATACCTATATTTAGGCATATATGATGTAAATAATACATATATATTTGAGAAAATCATTGTTTATATTTACATTAATATATATGTAAATATTTTTGTTTTGTGTTCTATTTTGTTTTATATGTTTTATTTATATATATACACACAATATTTATACACATAGAGTACACAGATATGTAAATGCAAACATTTATTTTGGATACGATCAATCATCGTTTGACAGCACCAGTTAAAACCTAATTAACTTATTAAAATAAAGTAACAAAAACAAACGTTCTTGTGACTTTTTAATTAAATAATTTTTTACAGTCTCACTTAATCGTATTTATATAATACTTTATATCCTTAAATATATTCAACAATCAAACCATAACTGTTTAACTAATTTCTGTTATAAAATTTGTGATTTTAAATACACATAAGATTAGTAAATTGCAAAGCCCGTGCAAACAAATTGACGTCATACAGTTCATAACTGCTTCCTCACTGATGCCATTTTTTCTCATATGCTTAAAAGTGAACAGCTCATATTTACATTCTTCTAAACATTACTCTGTAGACTCTGTAAAGTGTAGACAGTATCTAGATGATCAAAAATATTTCCACTTTCTTTTTACATGTAATCAAAAAAGTTTTCTGCGAGTATATAAGAGCACTAAATCGCTTTCAGTGTCTTGTATGTTGTCTTTTAGGTGAACTATGAGTTTTAACACTTGCTGTAGAAGTGCTTTCTTAATCTGCTTTTATACGCAACTAAGAATGTATCTTTTTCTATCTACAGGATGAGAAGAATCAAGTTCTTACGACCAACATTTGGCTACAGCTGGTAAGAGTTACTCATTGATCACAGTATGACAGGGCTCATCAGTAACCCAGTCCAACTGTCATGTTCATTTAGCGAAGACCTCTCTGTGGCTCTGTTATTAATAGCTGAAGGTTAATGACCGTGAAGGTAATGTGATGAAGTCGTCTGTGGTTCCATGACTAAAATAATAATAATGACCTCTTACAACATTCAATGCAATTTTAGTTGAAGTTAACATTAGATGTAGCATAATGTCGGCAACTACACAGCTTTAATAGTATCTCCTATAGAGTTTTCCCAAATATCTACAAATTCTTAATTAAGAAAGCAGCTTTTAGACAGGTCAAAAATATTGCCTTTATTTTGTCAGTGAAGGAATGCTGGACAGTGGAATTGAGGATCAAAAGGGTGGTCAGACAGGCAGGTAAATAACAGAAACAAATGGGTACATACAGGTGAAGCAAAAGAGTGGTCGGGTCACAGGTCCAGGCGGCAAACTATGTAAACAAAAGTAACAAAGCAAGGGGTCAAACACGGCAAGGCAAGGAGAATGTGTCGTAATGTCCACGAACAGTAAAACAAGACTCAGCACTGATGTGTGTGTGTGTCTGTGCTGTTTTTAAAGTGTAATCAGTTCATCATGATCCTCCAGCTGTATGTGTAATCAATGTGAAACAGGAACCGGTGTGTGCGAGGTGCATGCTGGGAGTTGCAGTTTGTAAATGTGGTGTATGCGTAGTGCTCCAGCAATCAACAGTAGCTAGATTGCTGGTGACAAACAGATTTCAGTTTCAATTTCAGAAAACAAGCAGAATAATCTGCAGTTGGGGTTAGAAAAATAATCTAGTTTTCGCTTTAAAATAAGATTATTCTGATTACCTCATTGGTAGATTATTTACCTTGTTTTAAGGAAAAACCTGCTTTATTTAGATTTATTATTTTTGAAAAGAGGACAATAATTAAGCTTCTTCATTTAAGAATTTGTAGATATTTGGACCAGAAACAAGACAAAACTCTAAGTAAGAAAAGCATTTATATGCAGTGTGTTATTGATTTTCATGCAGCTAATGTTTATAAAGCAGGTTATCAGTTAATGAAGACTCACTTCCGCAAAATACTGCAACATAAATCTATTACCCGTACTGTAGCTTTCAAATCATGGGTGTTTTTTTTTTTTTCATTTATTTACTCTTTAAAATTGCATTATGGGATCTTGATCTCTGCTCTGACAAAGTGCAGAGGTTTAGCAAAGTGCCATTAATTATAAATAATTAATTATAACATTAATTATAATATATAATTAAGTATATTATCAATACATTATTAATGATACAGAAACCATAAAAAGCTTCCAGTGCTTTTTTTGTGTGTTACTGCATCTATTTATTTCTATATATTATTTCATTCATTCATTTTTCTTCAGCTAAGTCTTTATTTCAGAGGTCGCCACAGCAGAGTAACCTGCAAACTATTCCAGCATATGTTTTACACCATGCCATATGCCAACATGGGGGAAACATGCAAACTCCACACAGAAACGCCAACTGACCCAGCCGGGACTTGCACAAGACACCCTCTTGCTGCGAAGCGACAGTGCTAACAATTGAGCCACCGTGCCGCCCCAATATTATTACACATGCAATATATCGTGTCCAACTAAAAGTATGGTAGCACTTTATTTTAAAATACTGTATGTCCACTTAGTGTACCTACAGTATAGAACTGGCAAATTTGTTATCATTAAAATAAACGTTAAAATAGCCAAAGATTTCTCAGATCTTCGAAAGGAACAGGAAGTTATAGGAGTCCCCCGACACATTTTCATTGTGGTCTGCGGTATTTGTGATGCGTTTTTGCCTTTGCATGTGAGAATTTGTGTGTGCAGATAATTTGTCAAATTGATTATGTTTTCTTGATTTGTGAGTCTTTTCCTATTTACATGTGTATTCTTAGCTTGCAGCGCATTTAGGCCCAATCCCAATTCTAACCCTTAGCCCTTCCACTTATCCCTCGTTTTGCGCGTTCACGTGAAGGGGTAGAGGTGTCCCAATTCTCTTTAGCTTAAAGGCATAGGGCTAAGGGGAAGGGCTACTGTAGATAACCCCTGAAACGGAGATTATTCAGAATCACACTCAAAACCATGCAGTACGAAAATTTCCATGTCATTGTTACAACTTTTTACAACAAACAAGCGTATGTTTTCATACAATCATAACTGCGTTCAGGTTTTAGAGTCATGCTTTAAAAACATGATAAAAAGCTCAATTTTGCTATAATCCATAAAAATAACCGGTGTACAGTCCCACAACCATATCACCCTGCAGCCCAAGACCGGTTACTCACTAAAGCTAAGCAGGGCTGAGCCTGGTTAGTACCTGGATGGGAGACCACTAGGGAACACTAGGTTGCTGTTGGAAGTGGTGTTAGTGAGGCCAGCAGGGGGCGCTCAACCTGAGGTCTAAGTGAGTCCTAATGCCCCAGTAAAGTGAAGGGGACACTACACTGTCAGTGTGCGCCGTCTTTTGGATGAGACGTTAAACCGAGGTCCTGACTCTCTGTGGTCATTAAAAATCCCATGGCACTTCTCGTGAAAGAGCAGGGGTGTAACCCCGGTGTCCTGGCCAAAGTCCCTCTATCGGCCCATACGATCATGGCCTCCCAATCATCCCCTTTCCACTGAATTGGATCTATCACTGTCTCTCCACTCCACCAATAGCTGGTGTGTGGTGAGCGCACTGGCGCCGTTGTCCTGTGGCAGCCGTCGCATCATCCAAGTGGGTGCTGCACACTGGTGGTGGTGTGGAGAGACCCCCTTCATGATTGTGAAGCGCTTTGGGTGTATGGCCATACACAATAAATGCGCTATACAAATACACATTACATTACATTACATTACACAACATACTTTCACGTCTGACACTCAATGACACTCCAATACCCTTTCAGAAATGACTAGTGGCTGGTATTTACCTTTTTACAGTGTCAACAATTCTGAGCTTTTTGCAACATTATATCGTTATGATAACATGATAGTGTTGCAGTCGGTGATTTCCTGAAAATAAATACCAAAAAATAATGCAACTGGAAAATTATATCACTAATCCTCATCAATCCCATATGAGCACACAATGACAAATGATGAGGTGTTGTAGTGCTGTCCAATTTCTTAGGGGTAAATTTAATTTCAAAAGCCAAGGGAAAGGGGTAAAAATAGAATTGGTATTGGGCCTTATGATCAGTGTAAAAAAAAGAAAATGCTGGGTTCCACAAAATTCCTTTATGTTGTCCCAACAAAAATCATGTAAGTTCACTTAATTGTTTTTGCAAATTTAAGTGGATTTAACATAAAACATTTAAGTTGCCCCTCCAAAAAAAACAAGAATTGTGTTGATTCAGCTCATTTTAAATAAGTAGTTTGAACAAGCGGCAAAAATAATTCTTGGCAGGGCCGGAGCAAGCTGAACTGCTGCTCTAGGCAAAGAACGGTCAAGCTGCCCTCAACCGCAACCCTCTCTCTTCTGCCACCCTAGACGCGGAAATAACGAAGGGGTGGCTGGTGAGGGTAGTGTCAGGGACGCGGATATAACTGACGGCGCGGGTGGTGAGGGTAGTGTGGCGGACGCCGCCCTCTCTATTCTGCCGCCCTAGGCAGCCGACTAGGTCGCCTCTATGGACGCGCCGGCCCTGATTCTTGGCCACCATACCATAAACACCATACACATATTCGGTTTTATTTCATGCCTAATTCAGTTTGCAGGCAAATACTTTGAAAGCATAAATATCTATGTTTCTGCTGACTGTCTCTTTTTCTCTTTTGTCTCATTTTAGTACTGGTATGACTACTATCTTCAATGGAACGCCTCAGAATATCCTGGAGTAACCAATGTAAGGTTTCCTGACAGTCAGATCTGGAAGCCTGACATCTTACTTTATAACAGGTTTGTTCTTTCCACAGAGGGTTTGACATTTAATTAGCCTTTCAGGTAAAGGGTTACATAAAAAAACGAAGCATAGCTTACAAAAGTTTAAACGATTTCTTCAAGAGTAGTCAATTGCCTGGAAAGAAGTGCTGGGTGATAGAGAATGGACACTGAGTTTGCACTTCGCCATGAAAAACAAAGCTTTAGCCTCATTTGTCCCTGTCTACTGGAAATGCAGAATTAGACACTGTAAATGCAAAGTATGCCACTATCTGGAGGTCAAATAAATCAGGTCAGTGAATCACTAATTGGAAACATTTATTTAAAAAAACACAAATTTGGTTTAGCAGCCTGTAACATCATGATCTTCTCCAGAGACTGAATTTCTTTTCCTCGAACAGTCCTCCATTATTTGAAGTATAATTATTCTTGAGAATGCACATTTACATAATTGAAACATTTAGCAGAATATGGAGTATGGAAGTTGGAGCTGACATTTCCCTGAAACCCTGCGTTCACTGCAAGGCTGTTAGTCATGCAAAATAATTCAGCGCTGATGAAAAGCATTTACCTTGTATTGGATTAATCAATAGCATATCTAAGTGTTCCTCTGAGATGTTCATAAATCATGTTTTCTTTTTGGTTGAAATGAGTCATGCTTTTTCTTTTCCCCCACAGTGCTGATGAAAGGTTTGATGCCACATTTCATACTAATGTGCTGGTGAACTCTTCTGGTGCCTGCCAATACTTACCGCCAGGTACTTTTCTCATAAGATTAAAGGTGCCAAAGCATTTTTACCACTTTGTCTATAGAAAAACTAAACAAAACAAAACATTGAACATACTATATGATACTTTTCTGAAAATGAAACAAACATCAAACGATGAAACAACACACAGTAGGTATACACAAAGCCAATTCTCCCTATATGAAGAGTATGTACACTGTGAAGGGCGCCCGGAACAGCAGGGGGTTTCATTAATATTAAAAGCATATCCAGTGGGGGAAATAAGTATTGAATACGTCCCTATTTTTCTCATACACCATATCTCTAAAGGTGTCGTTGACTTGAAATGTTCACCGGATGTTGGTAACAACCAAACAAATCCATATATGCAGAGAAAACAAAACTAATTAGTTTACAAATGAAGTTATGTTTAATAAAAATGAAATGATGCAGGGAAAATGTATTGAACACACAAAGATAGGGAGATGCAGAAAGGCAGTGAAAGCCCAGACAGCAGCTGAAATCACTCTGTACTTCTTCAGCAACCCTCTGCCCTTCATCAATGTAAATTAATATTAGCTACTTCAGTCCAACATCTACATTATCAGGATGATAAAGATGAAACTAGGGTGGAAATTTTAGCAAGATAATCCAAAACACAGCCAAGGAAACTCACAGATGCTTTCAGAGAAAAAAACAAACAAACTGTAGAATGGCCCAGCCAATCACCTCACTTGAATGCAATAGAGAATGCAAATTAAAGACCAGATTTGATAGACGAGATTTACAGAACCATCAAGATTTTTACACTCAAAAATGAAAGATACAGTTTGTACAGTATAAAACAGACCCCCTAGTTTTTCGCGATTTTGCAATCAACGCAAATCACAAGTCGCAAATTTTTGTGATCCTACAAAATTCTTAAATTAAACGCAAAATAATCACAAAAAAAGGTAAATAATCACATAAAGCATCCTATTCCAAACCATATAAACAAATAATATTTATTTCAGTTTGTAATTAATTGTTTTACGTGACTTACTGACGTTGCATAGGCAGCGCACGTGATGAATATCAGTGTCTCGAAAAAAAATTATGTCTTACCTGCACCCTCACAATCATTATTACATGGAATGGAATGAGGGCATGGGGTGGGGGTTTCAGCCTGTGCAGTAAGCAGACGCAGATGAAGCGTGAGTGATTTACATTTGAAGTCATAGCAAAGATGTGATATAGACATCCTGTGGCGCGAATTGAGCGTTTTGTGCATTTGACATGCTTTAGATTGCAAGAAAGTTGGAGCAAACAGAGTAATGGAACAGACAGGTGGAGATGAGATTGGTTCACAGATGATGGCTGCTGGAGGTGACCGAATTGAAGGACATTCTTTGTGCTTACATGAATGGCTGGTATTATGATGAGCGTCAAATGGATAATTTATTTAGAAAACTCTATTCTGTCGTTGACGAGTTTTACGGCAGTCTGTGTTTTAGGTGTATTATGGTAGGGGAAACCCCAATGCATGTCCTGAGTGAGGTACATGTCAGATGCTGCGTGGAGTGACATCTGAGAGAAAGTAAGATAGTGGATAAAAATAAGAGTTATACAAACTTCGTTTGGCTTAATCCCTACAATAATAGATCTGTTTTTGATCTTGTCTCGACAAGAGACCAAAGTAAAGAAGCTTTATTTTTATGGTTTGTGTCATTGTGATTGTGTCAGATTGCACACCTAACATAGTAGGCTACCTAATGTGGTTAATTAGAGACAGTGGCGGTTCTAGTTTAAATGGCACCCCAGGCGAACCACCCCATACGGATGCCCTTCCAGCCGCAACCCAGTACTGGCCAATATACCGCCCAATATTATTATTAATGTACAATTATAATTCTAAATGAATAGCAGAAATCAATCCTAAACATAACTGGAAAACAATGTAAAAAAAAGACACAACTGTAGTCAGGGGCGGACTGGCCATAGAGAGCACCGGGACATTTCCCGGTGACTTGATGGTCAATCTGGCCTGCCCCCTAATGTCTTTATTCTGGGATTAACACTCAATATAATCAATATCAATATACCTGCATAAAGTAATTGGCATCTCAAAGCTTACTGGGGTTCAGTTTTTTTCTCTTCATCACCGTCTCCCTGTGCCGCCCCAGCAAAATGCCGCCCTTGGCAATCGCCCTATTTATCACTAAATTGTCCGTACATTTTTCGAAAGGGCATTTTTAATTGCAAAAAAATAAAAATAAAAAAATCTTGAAAAACTAGGGCGTCTAATTTGAATAATGACGCTGGAATCCTGCAACTATTGACTTTCATAATATTAGTTTGGTATGTGAAGAGTTTTTAGTTTATTTGTGTTCAGCAGAATAAATAGACTCATAAAGGTTTTTACCACTTGAGGGTGAGTAAAAAGGGAGTAAATATTTGTTTTTGTGTCAACTATCCCAGGTTCCATGAATCTAAATGCTTCTTTATGTAATCACTGATGCCAATAATGAACCTTTAGTTTTAAGAGCGCACTATTTGAGGCCTGTTCAGTTCTAAAGATTTGTCTCATTGATAAACTGTTTGTTGTGAATGGAGATTTGCCTGGGCTGTATTTACGTTCACCCTCTGGCTTCTTGCTGTGAAAGCTGAACCAGGGCTCTAGCCCAGATAAACATTTGATTCACGAGTAGATGTGGTCCTGGCAGTGAGTTTGCACTAAATTCTCTTTGCGGTGACATTGAAGAGATTGCCTTCCCTTGAACCTCCATAAAGCTTTGTCAGAAGCCTAGTTATGCTTTATGGCAAAAGAAAGCAATGAAACACGAACGGAAGATGATGTACTGAACAATCTGCCGGCTCTAGCTAAATTACATACATATGTCTTCACGGGCATGTTTCAGCCTTTTACAGCTTATGTCGTCTCATTTAATAGTGCCGCAGATGTTCATTTTCATCACTGAGGGTTGTTTAATAAAAGCCGAAATAAAAGTAATGATAATTATAATGATAAATAATCCTATCATATATCTATAATGGCTTTAAGTGCAAAATTATGCATATAGGCTCATTCTGAAAACCACTATATACATTTCTGGAGATTTCTGACGCCATTTCTTTTCTCGCTTACCAGTTGACTGCCTGCCTCCATGTGGACGGCTTTTCCGCTGTTACCAGTTTGTTCAGTAGCTCACCATGTACGTGGCAGATTTGAAATGCAGAGTGGAGTTGACCATGACTAAGGTTTTCATGTCCGAATGGAGTCAATCTAGGGCAGGGATGGGCAAACTTGATCCTCGAGGGCCGGTGTCCCTGCAGAGTTTTGTTCCAACACTAGTCAAAAACACCTGAACATGCCAATCAGTATCTTCAAGATCACTAAAAATCTATAAGCAGGTGTGTTTGATTAGAGTTGGAGTTAAACTGTGCAGGACACCGGCCCTCCAGGACCGAGTTTGCCCATCCCTGATCAAGGGCCATATATACTTGCAAAATAAAGAACATTTTGCAAACAAAACTAAGTATTGAGCAATAAAATAAATAATAAAACAAATGCAAATCTCCAAAAATCGCAAAGCATAAATTATTTTGAGAAATAAACATTTGTTTTGTTAACAAAAATAAAGAACTGCAAAGGTTCTCAAAAAGTTTTGAGAAATAAAAATTAAATTTGCAAACAAAAAAGAGCTGCAAAAATAAAAATCAAGCAGTGCAAATAACTAAAATATTTGCAATAAAAAAATATTTTTTTTATATAAAATTATTTGCAAAACATTTTTATAGGATTGCCTTTCCAGTCAATTGCAAAGGTCATTTAGATTAGCTTTTTAGTCAAAAGTAATTTTGTGATGCTGTTTTTACTTTGAGCTTACTGTTTCTGCACGCTTCACCTTGTGGCCCTGATTTGACAAGAGGGCGGAGTCAAGGGAACCTGGGCATATATGGCAGACCCGGACCAACTGGACTGTAAGACCACCTCAGTGATACTGTGTCTCCGGGTGATGAATGGAGGAAGGTTCGGGCCTACCATAAACACCCAAGAAAAGTTAAGTGCAAAGTCAAAACAGCATTGCAACTCACAGCTGACTAAAAATGAGCATTGCATTTGACTGGACGGGTTTTGTAAAAGCAATGCTTTAAAAAATGTTTTGCAAATATATACAGTTGAAGTCAGAACTATTAGCCCCACTGAATTATTAGCCCTTCTATTTTTTTCCCAATTTCTGTTTAACGGATAGAAGATTTTCTCAACACATTTCTAAGCATAATACTTTTAAGAACTCATTTCTGATTTATTTTATCTTTGCCATGATGGCAATACTCAATACTTTATTTTTTGTTCCAAAAACTTTCTTTTATTTTGCAAGTATAAACAGTATGGCCCTAAATTGACTGAAAACAAGTAAGACCAAAACAAACAAACAAAAAAATCTGTCTTTTTTTATTTTTATAAAACCATCAGTTGGGTTTAGGGAAGGAGGAAGATGGAACAGTCGATCAGTCAGTCAGACGATAGTGGCCTCTAGTGGATTTACGCGAGAAGAGCAGGCGAAAGCATACACAGCGGCCTCTGGTGGATTTGAGAAAACAAAATCTGCAAAAAACATAGCTTCTAGGATGTATTTTGCGCTCTCCAGAAATGTATATAGGGGTACATAATCAGAATGAATCTGGGTTTAAATTATTAGCCCTCATGTTTTTTTTTTTTTGTTTTTTTTTTTTATATTACCCAAACTATGTTTAACAGAGCAAAGAGTTTTTTAACAGTAATTCCTGTAATATTTTTTTTCTGTAGAGTCTTATTTGTTTAATTTAGGCTGGATTTATTTTTTTTTTAAATTTAAGGTCAAAATTATTAGCCCCTTTAAGCAATTTATTTTTGATTCTACAGAACAAACCATGACTTGCCTAAAGGTAGAGTAGGTGATTCTCTTCGAAACATTTTTTTATTGTGTTGGTTGAAAGTCTCTTCACAGTCCAATAGTAATGATTCAATTAAATGATCTAAATGTATTTCTCTGTATTTTTATATTCTGGGTAACACATAAGACTAAAAAATGTTTGTCCAATTAAAGTTTATCAGGCCGACAATTCCCATAATTCTGATAAGTAGCCCAAACTGTCTGTCAACAAATGTACATTTGTATATCTGCGCACCCCTGTTCACACAGAACCGCCGTATGTGGGTGCACTTTACTGAGGTAAAGTTGCTTTTATATGCACATCACACCAATATTGAACAATGACAACCTGTGACATGATTCCTATATTGTTTACCATGCTACTCTTACTCTGTAAGTATGGCTTAGTAATAAGTGTAATTCTTACAAACTGTCGGCCAAACACTATGCATACAGTAGTGGCTTTAGGACAAAGCGTGTGAGAGAATGAGACCAGCGATCCTTGCTACACAATTAAAAACATGCCAGATATAATACAGTTTTTTTTTTCATTCAGAGTTGTAGTATTAAAAAAGTACTATAAAGCTGTCTAACTGGCGAATGACATGATCTAGTGCGTTGTCTGCTGTCATCATTAATGTGCGCATGGTGTTTCAGGGGGCATGACTTTGGACGCCAAGAGAGGGACTGTGTTTCAAATATATTATGCTAACCAGTTAGCATTTAGGCAGATCACTTCCTGCACCTTTAAGCCTTTAAAAAGTACTTTACCCTGAATACTAGTATCTTGAAAAATATCTAATAAATTATAATAAAATAAATCAGTTATTAGAAATGAGTTATTAAAACAACTATGTTTGGAAATATGTCGAAAAAAATCTTTCCATTAAACAGAAATTGGGAAATAAAATAAACAGGGAGGCTAATATTTCTGGCTTCAACTGTATATGTGCAGCTGGAGGACTTGTTTTACAACCCTCCACTGAAACTGTTGCACTGCAGTTATAACACATTTCTGTTTATAGGGATCTTCAAAAGCACCTGCTACATTGACGTTCGCTGGTTCCCCTTTGATCTTCAGAGGTGTGATCTGAAATTTGGCTCCTGGACGTATGGAGGATGGTCTCTGGACCTGCAGATGATTGATGCCGACATCACAGGATACATTGCTAATGGAGAGTGGGACCTTGTGGGTAGGGTGACCGACTTCATTAAATACCAATGCTTGAACAGAAGATAATGAAAGACCACTTAAAGAGAGTGCACGTTCATGACTTTCAATATAAGTCAGACTGTTCGATGTGAATTGATTTCGTTTCAATTATATTTTGAAAAATGTTTTTAAGTACACTTGATGTTGTTGACAGATTTCTTAAAAGTGCATATAAAGTACTAAAAATTTTAAGTGTAACTAGTCTTTCTATAGTTCACTTTTTAAAAATAGGAAAACTGCAGCTTCATCACTGAAAATGTGCAATGAAATATATGTGTGTGTGTGTGTGTGTGTGTGTGTGTGTGTGTGTGTGTGTATATATATATATATATATATATATATATATATATATTGCAGAAGTTCCAGGTAGACGGAATGAGAGGTTCTACGACTGCTGCAAGGAGCCGTACCCAGATGTGACTTTTACGGTGGTGATGCGGAGACGAACACTGTATTACGGTCTTAATCTACTTATTCCCTGTGTGCTCATCTCTACTCTGGCCCTGCTGGTGTTCCTGCTACCTGCTGACTCAGGAGAAAAGATCTCGCTCGGTGAGCTACACATTGAAGGCTTTTGCCATAATTTTAAGATGTTAATATATATTAGGGGTGTAACAGTTCACAAAAATCACGGTTCGGTTCGATACGATACAGTGGTGTCACGGTTTGGTACGTTTTTGATACAGCAAAAAAAGAAAAAAGCCGGAGGATTTCTCTGGTTTTTATTTTTTAATGTATTAAAAATACCATCATAAAAGTATGATCCTGTTTTTGATCCTGATCCTGAGCTATGCTTCTGGGGTTTCTGCTTAGCAGCAAATAAAACAAATCCTTCTTTATACTCAAAACCAAAAAGCTTCCTAAAAAAATAAATGTAATATTGTAGTAGTTAAACAAATAAAAATAAAAGAACAATCTATAGTCTATTTTCAAGTATTTTTTTTTTCAGAAAGATGAGTGTGCACCTTTTCTTCAGACAGCACAGATCTGCTTGATTTGACTGTCACCTGCCATTTTAGTGGATCTGAAAGCAGTAGTTATCTGACTGAAATGGGCTCATGAAGGAATAATGTAACAGGGCTCTATAACAATTAACATTTTCTTGAAACCTAAAAATTCCACAACCGATTAAGATCTCACAGGGCTTGAAATTAACCTTTTTCTTGGTAGCACCGGTGCTCCTAACTTCAAAAATGTAGGCGCATCAGACAAAATTCTGCAGCAGCTGCGTGATGCTATCATGTCAATAAGGACCAAAATTTCTGAGGAAAATTTCCAGTACCTTGTTGAATCTGTACCACGAAGGATTAAGACAGTTCTGAACGTAATAGAGGTTCAACCCAGTGCTGATAAGGTATACCTAATAAAGTGGCCAGTGAGTGCATATGTGTGTTTTAAGACAATAAGTATGCATTAAAACGTATAAACTAAAAACAACACTGATGTACTACACAAGTATAGTATCTATATATGCATAGATGCAAAGTATTTCTTTACAAAGTGACAACAACTGGTCTGCATAGAAAGGAACAAACATTTTGTTATTTTTGCAGATCTTTGTAAATGTGAAACAGTGTTGTCTTTAAATGTTTTTATTTTTTTCTGTTTTCATACATTATAATTATGTGACATTTGAAATGTCATGTTTTCTCTAATATGCTTGCCTACAGTTACTGAGCTGGAAAATCAATTTTCATTGAATCTACTCCTTATCAAAAAGAAATTATACACTTCACCTTTAAAAGGGTTTATTAGGGGAGCTAAGCTTAACTGGCTTTACGTTTGCACAGTAATAACCAGAAGTACATAAATGTCACGTTTGCCATTTAAAAAAAAATCATAATTTTTTATTTCTCGCCTCGACTCAACTCCCACATAAACATCTCACTGCTTTTTTTTTTTCTTCGCTGACTTAGCAAAAATCCAGCATTTAAACCTACATCATGTGAAATGCACTTTGGCACCGGCACACAATTTATGCTGCTATCCCTGTAAGCTACTGTAAGTGGCGTGTCGTGAGATTGATGGCTCGCCAAAGATTGCTTTAGTGATTAATGCAGTTGGAAAGCTGTGAAGGCCAAATGCCTCTATTTCTCCGGCTCTCTGGATTTAGAGGATGCTCAAACAGGGACTGAGGGTGCGCTCTGAAAGAGACTGAACCCGAAATCACAGCACAACACAATTCATTATGATTTTTTTTTTTTCATTTTGTCATTCCTAAATGGTATTAGTGCGATGAGGCTGCCAACATTACTTTCCACAGAGTGAGTTATAGGCTGGTGCTCTGTGAGCTACTTAAAATCAATACTCTAAATACCAGCAATTAGCCGACTGTGTAAGATACAGTGCATTTAAGTTTCATTTTATATATAGGTCTGCTTCTATTCTCATATAATTAGGGCATAAAAGAAGCTATTTAAAAGAAACCAATTGAAGATATAAGCTTGATTGCTTTTTTTGCATTCTCCTGTATCATCCTGATATTAGCCACTTGGTGTAAACTCTAAAGTTTGACCAAATTAAACTACATTTTAAAGGCAAACAAGTTGAAGGCAGGGCCGGATTAACATGATGGCTAGTTTAAATATGCCTATTTTGTCACCATTAAGGGTGAACAGATGTCCTTTTTTCCGAGGAAAGTCTCTTATTTCCCAGGACAGTTCCTTATTTTAGCTCTACCGGGAGAGTGGTCCAGTCAAAGATAAGCTAACCAAGTGCATCATAAAACAAAAAATAGAATTCAAACACAGTATCTGTTATTATCATGCAGTAAGAGAGCTCAGGATAGGCAGAATTGTGCAGAATGGACTCATAATTGAAGTGCTGTCTCAGCCGCCCCTAAGCCCACACAATTCATGCCCTCTCATAACTGAAACTGCCTTTCCACTGCACACGACAAGTGATGGACCGGATTCCAATGATGAGCAGTCCAGGAGCTCGGTTGAGTTCCGATCATCTCTGGAAATATGCGGAAAATTCGGATCCGATTTGAGCTGCGGATCCCTTAAAATATTAAAACTCCTGCAACTAGACACTAAGCAACCGGCCGACAAGATGGGATGTACTACAGTGTTTTCCAAGCAGATTTGTGCACGCGAGATGAGAAATACAACTTTTTTTCATATTTTTTTTTTATCAGAAAAAGTTATAGTTAGTCATAAATGAATTATAAAAAAAATATATATTTTTAATGTTGTCTCCACATTTCCTCTAAAATTTTTGTTGGGGCTTGGGGAGAGGGGGGATGAGCTGGGGGTTTGCCCCGACTGAAAGATAGGAGACAGGGGGGTTGAGGTTGGTTTTTAAACGATAAAGATGAAAGTGATGAGTGGGGGTAGAGAGGTGGGCGAAGTTTGTCGTGGATGAAAATGAAGGGCGAGTGGGTTGGTTTAGTAGGTTGGGGTAGAGTTGTGAATGAAGGTGAAGGGTGGGGTTGGGAGGCTGTTGGTTTGTTGGTGGAGCAATGAAATATTACAGCAATGAAATATTGGCACTGGCTGTCATCAGACAGTATGGCCCAATCTTAAATATATTTTTGTACCCCTATCCCTTCCCCTTGGCCCTTACAACCAAGGGTGAAAGGGAAGGGCTTCAAAAGTTGAAGGCAGAATAATTAGCCCCCCTGTTTAATTTTTCCCCAAATTTCTGTTTAACAGAAAGCAGATTTTTTCAACACATTTCTATACATAATAGTTTTCATAACTCATTTGTAATAACTGATTTCTTTTATCTTTGCTATGATGACAGTAAATTATATTTGACTAGATCTTTTTCGAGACACTTCTAACACAGCTCAAAGTGACATTAAAAGGCTTAACTAGGTTAATTAGGTTAACTATGCAGGTTAGGGTAATAAGGCAAGTCATTGTATAATGATGGTTTGATCTGTAGACTATTGAAAAAAAATTAGCTTAAAGGGGCTAATAATTTTGTCCTTAAAATGGTGTTTAAAAATGTAAAAACTGCTTTTATTCTAGCCGAAAGAAAACAAATAAAACTTTTTCTAGAATAAAAAATAATATCAGACATATTGTGAAAATTTCCTTGCTCTGTTATATATGCTCTGTCGGTCATATTCAATTGGCTACTACTGCCTTATCAACTACATGGTGCAGTAGATTGGTTGCTGTCACCTCAGCAGCCAATAAGCTTGCTCCTCAACATTTAAATGTGCTAGCAATGTACTGCATGCTTTTAAATCCCTCTTCAACCCCAGCTCCACCTGTGTATAGGTCTGCTATGGGGTTTATATGTATGTTATGTGAGCAGCAGCAGTGTGTTATATTCACAGACAGCGTGAATATACTGGCAGTAGCAAGTGTCATTACTACACCAACAATCAAAGCAGCAGCAGTGTAGCAGATAAAGTATATGCTGCCAAGATCAACATTACTATACATTTTTATTACCATACTAAATCTCTCCGAGAGTTGACAGAAGTGTTTTTTTGATTGTCAGGGATCACCGTCCTGCTCTCGCTGACAGTTTTCATGCTTTTGGTAGCAGAGATAATGCCGGCAACATCTGACTCTGTGCCTTTAATAGGTAAGTCCTGCTTGTAATGATTTTAGATTACTTACTTTAATACTTCATAATTTTGTTTGTTAGAAAAATTGTTTGTTTGGAAATGTTAATTAAACCAACATTTGGAAGCACTTTTTTTGGGGTTTGTTAATCTCTCTGTATAAATCAATTGAGTAACATTTGGAACAATCCAAGGGTGAGTAAACGATGACAGGATTTTTGGATAAATTTTCTGGTTAATTATTCTTTCAACAAGCTGTCTAATCCTGAATTAATTTAAATGCATACAACACTTTTTGGGAATAAATAAACATGTCCCTTACAAAAACATACTATGACAGGACCATATGATGGGACCAGATGGTAAAACTTGTGGGATATTCTGACAGATGTTGAACATCAATTAAGACAGCCCTAGCATCTGTTATCTTTAATTGTAATGGGGGAAAGCAGGTCATTTTGTTTACAAATTTTATTTTACGGGTTTTAAAATCTATATCAGGCGTCACAGTGGCGTAGTGGGTCGCGAAGGTCGCTGATTCGAGCCTTGGCTGGGTCAGTTGGAATTTCTGTGTGGAGTTTGCATGTTCTCCTCTACAAGTCCAAAGACATGCGGTACAGGTGAATTGGGAAAGCTGAACTGTCCGTAGTGTATGTGAATGAATGAGTGAGTATGGATGTTTTCCATTGATGGGTTGCCGCTGGATGGGCATCCGCTGCGTAAAACATATGCTGGATAAGTTGGTGGTTCATTCCCCTGTAGCAACCCCAGATTACAAAAGGGACTAAGTTGAAAAGAAAATAGATGAATGAATAAAAATCTACATCGAGGCAACGCTCTACTACAGTGCCACACTGCTTTTGAATGGTTCAATCAAGCTGTGATACTATGCAGTACATATATAGTCACTGGTGTGTTTGAAATCTGTGCCTATCAGCTGATCCATTAATAATTCACTGATATATCTGCTCATACTGTGGATGGGTCTTCTGATTGACATGGGTTTCAAACGCTCTAAAAGTCTGAGGACTTTTCTATCCCTTCAAAGTTGGTATGTATGTGTCGATATGGCCCACTCCCCTGCTTTTTTATTCTGAGGTATAGACCTTTTTCTTAGATTGCAAAATTACCCATTGTGCTTTGTGTGTATGCTCAAAGAGGATGCTTCGAACTTCCGGTTGGCAGCTGATGCGTGTAAAGAGTCCCATTAAAACAGCTTTGAAACGATAGTTTTAATGTATTTTACTTGCTTTTAATGTCTTTGAACAAATCCTATTGTCTATCAGTGCCACCACCTGGACTGATTATTTAAAACAACTGCTGCAAGGTATTTTACCCTCATTGTCAGACGGCATCTTGTGCAATTTAAATGAAGCCCCGTCATCGCTAAAATGAGAGGATGAGTTTAGAGGGAAATTGGGTGTGAAGGAGCAAGAATCTAACACAAACAGTTTAGGATGGGTCCACTTCCCCTAAAAAGTAGATGAAGGAGGTTGATTGGTTTAGGCGTGGCTCTGCTACTAAACTTTTGTTGATTCATTAAACGCATATGTTTGACACACACACACATAGCCTATACTGTCCCACTGACACATTGACTGAAAGAGTGGCACAAGTGAAAATAAAGTAGAATGTTTAAGTTAAAGTAAAACACATACCATGGTAAATACTACACAATACAAACCAACTAAATGAAACAACACTGCTCACGATTAAAATCAATGAGCAAATCAGCCAGCAGAGTATAAGTAACGTATTTTTATAGGTAATTTTTGGAAATTGCATGACTTACATACCTGCTAGTTTTATGCCAGTAATATGGTTTGCTTGTTATAATGAGGTGAGATATTGTTTGTGTGCGTGCATGTGTGCGTGCGTGTGTGTATTAAAGAGCAGCGGAGTACATTATAGCAGGTGACAGGTTAGGAATACCTATGCTAAATTTCAGCATCTGATCTGACGGCAGACACAAAATTAGGAAAAGGTTTTTCTCTCCCGCTTGAACTGCATCTGACAGAAGCATAACAGCTTTAACGCATATCTTTCTTTCAAAATTAAAGTTTTTGCATCACAAAAACACTGTAAGCCTCTAAAACAGTATTGACACCCATGTTGAGAAACACTGCTCTGGTTGAGGACAATTCTTAACGGTTAAGTTCGAAGCAGCCTATCCGAAGACGCTGGTCACTATGGTGCCCTCCATGCAGCAACAACAAGGAAAAAGGTCTATACTTGAGCTGAAATGTGTCAAATACATCGTAGTACCTATCTGCACTTACAGGGAAAGTGTATGGCATAGCAACAGCGTCACAATAAATTGTAAAGACGATACCAGAAATTGAATTTAGAGAAATAAAGAGCATTATTTGCACAGGTGAACATAATCTGAAATCTAGATATGGGAATTATTAGTGCATCTAAAATGAGAAACAAGGTATTTCAGCAATCTGTTACAAAAAAAACACACTGAACAAATGATTCATTGGATTAATTATTTTTAAGGCAAGTGGTTGGAAACAATTTATATGGGCTGAATTCTAACAAACCCGTTGAATTTGGTTGTTTAAATTCAGCCCATACAAACTGTTTGCAACCACTTACATTAAAGATTTTTAATAAATCCAATGATCCAATCCAGTCCATTCTATTTATAACTGAAACATGCCCCCCATTCTAAAAGATGCATTTGTTAATATAATTGTCTCTGTCCTCTGATTAGCTCAGTATTTTGCCACCACCATGGTTATTGTTGGACTATCTGTAATAGCCACAGTCTGGGTTTTACAATACCACTACCATGATCCTGAAGGAGGAAAAATGCCAAAATGGGTGAGATCCTCATTTCTGCATTGATTTTTATTACTTTATAAACCAATCAGGTTGAATTCATCAGTATTTCATATTTTTTAATGTCAGCGCTTTGCCATTTAACAGCTATTTTTGTGTGTTAGACACGTGTGGTGCTGTTGAACTGGTGTGCCTGGTTCCTGCGGATGAAGAGACCTGGCGAAGACAAAGTTCGCCCAGCTTGTCACAACAAGCAGCCGCGCAGCAGCCTCTCCAGCGTGGATCTAAACATCAGCCCTGGAGTCGCACAGTCCACCAATGGAAACCTGCTGTACATCGGCTTCCGCGGGATGGACACTATTCACTATGCTACTTCACCTGATTCTGGGGTGATCTGCAGCCGGCTTGTGGCGACCGGAGAGGAGGATGTGCTGCTCCCCGGAGCCCAGGCATCTTCAGTTAGTAGTAGCGGCCCTGGAGAAACCGAACTGTCCAAGATCTTGGATGAGGTGCGGTACATTTCCAAGCGCTTTCGGGACCAAGACGAGGAAGACACTGTGTGTAATGAGTGGAAGTTTGCAGCGTCTGTGATTGACCGTCTCTGTCTCATGGCTTTTTCCCTGTTCACCATCCTCTGCACCATTGGTATCTTAATGTCTGCCCCTAACTTTGTTGAGGCCATATCAAAAGATTTTTTCACCTGAAGCCTTCACTTACCCTTATATTGTAGCTATATCTACTTCTCAGAGTCTCCTAAAGGCACAGTATGTATGGCTTTTGCACTGAAATATCCAAAAAACCCTTTATTTTGTTGACTTACTTGTATTGTACCAAAAGGAAGAAAGGATGTATATAAGAGCCCAGCCAGATCATCCTGTAGCCCAAAACTGATAAAGGTAAGCAGAGCCAAAGTCATATTACCCTGTAGCTAAGCAGGATTGAGCCTGGTCAGTACTTACAAGGAAGACCACCAGGGAGAAACCTGCTAGATCTATTGCTAATGAGGCCAGCAGGTGGCTCTAATGTCACAGTATAATCATAGGGACAATATAAAGCCTCAATTCCACTGAGTGGTTTGGTTCAGTACAGTCTAAGTCCTTTAAAAGCAAGTCTTTTCACTCTGCGGCCATCTTGACCTTCTCTCGAAGAATTCTTAGTCTATGAAGATTGCTGATTGGCTCCTGTACTAGAAGGCAAGGCTTCATTCACCATCTTGACAGTTACACTTTTCCCCATTCAAAACTATACAAGTGACTTGTCTAGTGCTGTACAGTACAGTACAGTTTAGTATGGGTAACCTTGGTCAGCCTTGAAATTCCACTGCCAGTAGTACCCTTACTTGGTGTGGTGTATGCCAGAAAGAAGTAGTCAGCGGCATATTATGTTTGATACTTAAAATGGAGACCAAGAGGAAGCAGTGCGATTGCGCTCTCCATGTGGTTTAGATGCAACATGTGAGCAGTCCCATAAACAACAATGGAGGACAAACAGCAGTTGTTGCTTCTTGGCATGTGGCTGTTTGTAACAGGAAGAAAACAAGCTTTGTTTGAGCTCGAATCGACCATGGTTCATTGCTGCAAATGTCATTATATTGTTATAGTGTTGTGTTTTGACTGTGTACTTAAAAATGTTAAATCCTGTGTTTGTCGTTCCCCCTGACTTTTTGCACATGCAAGTGATGATTCTCTGTAAATCAACAGCATTCAGCAGCTTGTCTGGCTACACCATTTGGTACCATACTATAGTGCTAGGTGCCCTAAGAGTATCCCAATGGTAAAAAAGATGGCAAAAAAGTAGTATTGTAAAGTTTGTTATTTAAGTACTTTTAACCATGAAAACTGACATGGAAAACGTGGACCATACTGTACTGTACCGAACCGAACCACACCACTTCTGGAAATGAGCCATAAATAAGTAATTCTCTTAAGAATGGGTGTTTAACCCTCCATTAGCCCAAGAGTCACCCAAAAGTGAATGTAATATCCTCATTTAGTCAGCCTCCAGAAAACCTGTATGTGTTTAGTTCTAATTTTTAAAGTGGTGGTGCAGTGGTTAGCACTGTCACCTTACAGCAAGAGGGTCAATGGTTTGAGCCCCGACTGTGTCAGTTGGCATTTCTGTGTGGTTTGCATGTTCTTCCCCGTGTTGGAATGGTTTTCTTTTAGGTGCTCTGGTTTCCCCCACAGTCTAAAGGCATGCAGTATAGGTGAATTGTATAAGCTAAATTGTCCATAGTGTGTGTGTGTGAATGAGTGGGTATGGTGCTTCCTAGTGATGGGTTGCAGCTGGAAGGGCATCTGCTGCATAAAACATATGCTGGATAAGTTGGCGGTTCATTCTGCTGTGGCAACCCCAGATTAATAAAGGGACTAAGCCAAAAAGAAAACGAATGAATGATAAGTTAACAACTTCAGGATGAGTAAATTGGAAATTTTGTTTTACTTTTAAGTGAACTTTACCTGTAATAATGCCCATCCAGATCCATCTCTCTCTCTGGTGTTTGCTAGTGGTGTTGCTCACTCTTTGCTCTTTTCTATTGCTCTTTACTCTTTACTATATTTACTGTACAATGCTTTTGTAGCATGAGAGCAATCATTGTGTGGCTTGATGATAGCATCTATCAAGCCATTCATTCTTTTTTATTTGATTTGTTTATTTTTACAGAAAATTACAGGCTTCACTTGAGTTTGACTTGTGCAATTAGTTTAAAATTACATGTGAAACTCTTAGAAAGTTGAGCCTTTTTTAATCTTAACTTTTTTTGCAGCAATTTCATTCATATGAAATATAATAATGCACATGTAAGTGATCAATTGTAACATTTATAAAACTTTGGTTCATTAGTTCATCCATGAATATTCATTGGTTGTGGTGGCAAGGTGACAAGAATAAGACAACTCCCATGATTCCATGCTCCTTCACAGCCCATTCAAGTTGCATTTTTCTCTAATATTTTAAATTAGCAACTTCCATTAGCGAAACGTACATACTGTGCCTTTATATAAAGCATATTTCAGAGTAGTAAATAAAAAAAGTATAAGAATTTTCAATCACACTTAATGGAAAAGTATACAGGCTAGAAATAACATGAAATAACAAGTCAATGATTGGTTGTGTATTAGTGGTTCTATAAATTCATGTATCACCAGAAGTGTGTACCAGAGATGGACTATAGCCGCACCTTATGAAAGCTTTTTTTCACAAGTTTGTCAAGTATGTGCTTCTCAAAGTTAACATGCATTTCTGAATGCCTGTATTGTCGGATTTGCCTTCCACTGTGGTTGTCACTGTAGTCTGTTATGCTCTAATTACACTGCTGTACATCATCACACGTCTTTAGCCCAGTATAGTATCACTGGTGAATAACTCCGTGTACATGATCTACTGGAGATTTATGAATGATTTTCTTTCACAATATTGTACAGTAATAAATAAACATATTTTTGTAGGAGGAAACTGCTTTGTTGGGTTAGTAAATTTTAATAAACAAACTGTCAATTACGGAGACCCAGAAAGGACGTGATGGTGGGAAAAATAATTGGTGGAAGAAAAAAAAAAAAAAAACTGGGTGAAAAAACCTGAGTGATAGGAAAACGTATTTTGAAGGTTTTTGCGTTCCCTCTCAAAGATTTTGCATTCTCTCGCAAAGATATTTTGCGTTTCCTTGCAAAACTGTTTCTCCACAAACACTTCCTGTTCACTTCATTCATATGTACCCCCCTGTTTTTGCCAAAATTCTCCCGTATTCTACCATTCTATCCCACTTTCTTTACATTAAAGATGTGCATCGATCTTCGCCTTTCATATGCAACCTCTGAACCATACCTGTCAACATTGGGATGTGAAAGTAAGGGATATGCCCACCATAATTCCATAACCGCCCCATCCCCCAACCCCCCATTTCATTCTAAATAAACAGTTAGATGGTCAGTAATATCTTTTATTATTATTATAATTATTATTTACAAAAGAAAAAATAAATATATACATTAGCAGCAAATAAATTAGCTAACAGTTCAGCTTATAAAAATTAATAGCTGTTATAATGAAATAGAATCAAGCTATCAAATCTCACTAGCCGTTTCTTCACTGTATAACTAACACATTCTGATTAAAAAACAACGAATGAATCTCTCATTTATTAAGATTTTTTCGTTTTATGAAATTAAATAACAGGTGCCACTTTAAAAATGCACACATCTAACAATATAATGGCATACGACTGCTTTCCTGACTGTTTATGCTCATTTAAGATGAAATTAGTTGTGTTTGGAAAAAAAAAACATGAATATCAACATCTTTAGATGTTATTATTATTAATGATTATGTGTATATGTATGTTTAAACACGCACCCAAAAGCCAGACTTTCAAATCGCTAGTACAGAATCCGTTTGGGAAAAAGCATCTATTTATCACTATGGAGCGCGTCAGCCAACAGTCATGCACCATTATATGACTGTTTTGAGGATTGCATATGAAGGGTGACGGAACCTGTAAAGAAAAGGAAGGGAATAGCGCCGTTTTTATATATTTATTTCAAAGTGTTTTCATGCCTAAATAAAGCGAAAGCACAGAACAGACTTACATAGAGCAAGGGGTGGTTCAGCGGTATGGGTTGCGTATAGGGAGGATCGTCTCTTTAATGTTTCTTGCCACCCTTCAGGGAAACACTGAAAATACGGGAAAAATATGGGAAATACCTTTACAGGATGATAGCGGGATAGAACTGTAAAATACGGGAGAATCCCGGGAAAAACTGGAGGATTGACAGGTATGCTCTGAACCAGTCAATGCATGTATAAGCGCTGACTGACAGACGTTCTCCGTACAATAAACTGATCCCAGATCAGCTTCCGTATACACGATTTAAAGTGACACCTCTGTTATCAAACAAGTGAGCAGCAAATGAATCTTGTTTTGTTTTGTTTAATAACAGAGGTGTCAGTGTGCTTTCAAGATTAAAAATATATCAGATATATGGGAAAATACTTAATGATAGGATGATAGTGGGCAGGGGCGAACTGGGACTAAAAATCAGCCCTGGTGCGCCTGTATATTGTCATATATTTTTAGACTTTCTCCTTACTAATCTTATTAAAGTATTTTTGCAAATTCTAAATGGTGAAACAATATTAGCAGCCAATGACAATCCAAATACAACATTGTTCAGTCTAATAAACAGTACTAATGCTGTTTTCAAGTCATATTTACATGTGATTTCAGACCGGAAATTCTTAGTACTATGGTAAACAATAAAGGGAGCTTGTCACAAGTTGTTATTGAATGAATATGGAATATAAATCCAACTCTACATCAATGCAATATGTGAACAGCCCGCTGCTATAGTTAATCCAGTGTGTGTGTATTAGCTATGGTGTAAGTTATAAATTCGGCCCGCGAGCTGCCAACGAATAGCCCTGCGTTAGGCCTTGTCGTTCTATTTTGCTGGAAAGGGGTGATACATTTCGATAAAATATGAGCTCACGACTGGATTAAAAACCAAATAGGGAATTCAATCTCCTCCAATTGGACGGGAATTAAATCCCGTTTTGTGTAAATATGTGTAAAGTGTGTATATGTAAAGTTTATGTATAAACAAATTTCGAGAGGATCACATGCTCATGATTGCTAGCGGCTGGATCCGCATTATCCAATTCACTACGCTCCAGTCAGATGACTCCTAAACTACTATAAATACCCTGGGTTTCATTCCACTGTTATCTTCGTTTTGAAGAGGCAGCTTCACCAGAGTTAGCGCCGTTAAAGAACCAACTCTAAACCA